TTTGACTATCGAAACCAATTCCAATTGGAATTAGGTTTAAAAGAGTTGATTCCATTTTCACAGTTCTTATTCGCATAGAAAACACAAAATCTGCTAGCTTTGTTACAGCTATGAATTCACCACAAATTCACAATCATCGAAGATAGAAGTCAATGAGATGGAAACTAGACTTGAAATAAATTTAAATCAAAAACATAAAATGGTTATCGTTCAATTGATGTTCTATGTCGATGACATGATGCCATATTTTTGTGTTGATTACGTCTATTCATTCCGATATGTGTATAACGGTTGCGCGTTGTTGAAAAGACATTTGTGCGAAAAAAGAAATGCAAACCGGCTTTCAGAAGCTGCGCATAATAATCGAATAATCGTTTGCGAAATATTTTATGCTTTATGATATTAAATGCTATTATTTATTGTATCGTATTTTTATTGGATTATATCAATCCACCAGGTAGAATCTAAAGCGGGAACGAGTGTAGCATCAATATGAATAACAGTTATAGAAAGCTCCGTTTTGATTTTGACAAAGTATAAAAGAGAGGTGCATAGGATCGTTTTCGTATTCAGTCGGTGATGTGATTTCGAAGGATTGATCGTTCAATTGCATATTTTCGAAAGAACATGGCAAAGTTTCTAGTGGCGATGGTTTTGTACACATTTCTGGTGTCAGGTAAATGAGAATATTTTCACAGAGTGAGACGTGATTTAAGAGTTTTGTGTTTATAGGTTTCGAAGCCAGAGAAGTGAATCTCAAAGATGAGTTAACCGTTTTGATCGACACCAAAAAGTATTTGAAAATATTCCAACGTTCGAATGAAGCAAATAATTGCACAGAAAATGAAGTGTATCAAGAGTGCGGCGCCAAGTGTGTGCTTGGGTGTCGGAATGCTTCATCGTCAGTAGGAATTACACTATCGAATGATGAATGCGAGAAAACTGAGTGCGTTAAAGGTTGCTTCTGTAAAGATGGATCGGTGCGTCATCGAGATAAATGCATACCAGTCGCAGAGTGCTCAGATCGAAGCGGCAAACAAATTGAAATCGGAACAGAAATATTGTATGATGCAGGCCCAATGAAAATTTTCGGACTATTTCGACCACAAGGTTGCGGTGCAGGAAGCTGTGGCATTCCACAAAACTGTGGACCACAAGGATGCGGAATTCATATCCATAATTACAATGAAGCAATTAATGAAGGTACAAAAATTCATTTCTGAAGAAATTGTGCATTCATTAAACGAAATTGCTATTTTGGCTCGTTGAGCTCTTGTTTTCATACATGAAGATATAGTAGTCAAGATGAAAAACCGATGAGTTTCATGCATGCAAACTTTATTTATTTAGGAGAAGACGAAGTGGATGACGACAGTAGTGAAGAGTGCAACGGCAATCATTGTCAAAATAATCAAGTAGTCCATACAACACATCACCATCACCATTCCTCTGATAGTAGTGAAGAGTGCAACGGCAATCATTGTCAAAATAATCAAGAAGTCCATACAACACATCACCATCACCATTCCTCTGAACATGGACATCATCATCATCATCATCATCACCATCAATCGTCCGAAGAATATGACGGTATGTATTATTCAATCGTCAGTTTAGTGTTAGGTTTTGGTTTGAGTTGTTTGGACAAAGTCCAGCCGACCGGTTGAGGAGCTTGCCTTCATGATTGAAAGGGCTACCGCAGTTCTTCTTAAGATTCTTTATTGCGTTCTATCTTAAGGCAAAAATTGCGAAAAGGAATGTTTGAAGTAACTAGCAATTGGAACATGACATGTTTTATTATTTGCAATATTTCAAATTCCAATTTCATGTTTCATTTATTTTTTTTTCACAAATCTCCCTGTTCGGTCGAAAAAAGTTCCTCTAATATAACTGAATAATTCACAACAGGTGGACACGGAGCGCACGGAGGAGGAGAAGATGTAGAGCGTAAGCATAACAATAATAATGCAGCCAACAACAACAATAATAACAACAACAATAACAACAACAACAACAACGGTTTCTCAAACATCTGGAGCTGGGGTACGAATATTTTATTGAAACCATTGCTCCAATGCATTTTAACGTCATTGAAAGAGTGTTAGGCTGGTATACGCGAAGGGATTGTCACATTTCTGTGATTTCTCTAAATGGCGTTAAAATGCATTGGAATTGCTATGATTCAAACAATCGAACACTATTTAATTTATGACCTAGACGATTTTGCCTGGAGAGCTTCTTTTTGTGAAAAAAAATAGCAATAAGATAATAGATTTTCAATTAGTTTGTCTATGAAATTACATCTAATGTTATCAAACATCGAAAATGATTAAATATGAATAAAATTATACTTCAGGAAATTCATGCCAAGGAGGCAGTTGCAGTGGAGGCTGCCAAGGCTCAAATTGCGGTGGAAGCTGCCAAGGTTCAAATTGTGGTGGGGGTTGCAATGGAGGCAATTGCGGTAAGAGTTCCAAATGCATCGCAGTAATCAAAAACACATTTCGTTCGAATCAATTCTTACATATATAGGGGAAGGTGGGGAAATTCGGAACACACATCGAAATAATCAAAAAGCATTCTGAAAAATTAACATTTTTCCAAATTCTAAAGTGGTACGACTTAGTAAATGTAAAAACCTAACTTTTGGACCTTGCCGCTTGTTGAAATTCGAATCGGTTAAAAAAATGTACCCTGTTGGCAAAAAACCCTTGATTTTCCGATTTTCAAAAATGGTGGGGAAATTCGGAACACTCCATAAATGGATAGAAAACTGAAACAATTTTGATGCAAAACGTTTATGGAGAACTAGGAAAAGATAGAAGAATTAATTTTAATGAGGAAAAAATTCAAAAATAGCGATTGTTGTTAGTCGGATTTGTAATTGTTGCCTGTGAAATAACTACCAATCTTTTTGGTGCATTTCAAGTGAACAGCTCGATCACATAAATTGCAATGAGTCATTTGTTAAAATTTTGCATGAAATATAATAAATATGCATAAAAACTGCGATATCAACTTGAAAAGTATTAAAAACCACTTGATCAATTTTTCGTATATAGGGCGTTCCGAAATTCCCCACTCACTAAGGCTTACAACATAATCGTGTTTCAGTCACTCAATGAATTTTTATGCGAAATTCCTTTTGTGAGTCGAAATATTAATCGTATACGATAATTAAAAACATATTCATCAGAGTTGATTCTTCGAAAAATGTCGTGAAATCAATGCAGACAGGCATTCTTAATATTAAATTTCCATAACTTGATTTTATGTTGATGCCGCACGTACACACTCATCGAGTGCTAATGGAAATTTGAGGTTTTGTTTAGAGAAAACGATGACAGTTATTCACATGTCTCAAACTATTCATTTGCTGCAAAATTTGGCGGTGTTCCGAATTTCCCCACCTTCCCTTAATTGATAAGAAACATCAATTTCCGACGAAGAAGTTATATATATAATCGTCGTCTATCAGATTTCACTTAAATCAATTTATTTATTTAATAGGCGGTAACTATCACCACCAATACAGCGGTAAGCTCTTGAAAAATCTGGAATTATTTATATTCAAAAATTCATGGCTTTTTCTTTACAAGGTCCTTTGAGCGGATGGAACGGTTGGTTCCAAGGGTTGCCAGGTGCACTCCCAGGATCCCAAATATTCCCAGGATTCGGAGGAGCATTCGCTGCACTATCAAATGCATTCGAAGGTATATTTTGATCACGAAAATGTAAAAAAGTTGAACAATTTGAAAGAAAATTGTTCCAAAATCACTGATTTCAATCAATTCTCTTAAATAAATTCTACAGGTACACCCATTCCAAGAGTTAATAAAGATGGCACCATCACGGTAATAAAAGTTTTTCATTGTTTTTCGTCTTGTTGCATAGAGTAATTTATTGTTCGTCCTCAGTTTACATATTCAAATGGCGCAACTCAAACGTATACGGTTAACGGATTTCTCACTGGCGTAACGTTTCCAACTAGATTGAATGGGATGACAAGCTTGACGAGCTTGACTGGCTTGAATGGCTTGGCAGATTTGAGATTAAGAATTTTCGATGAACAAATTAGTGAAGGTCACAGCAGTTCTGAAAGAGAAACGATCCGATCAGTGGAACATTGGCCATATCCACTGAAAAAACTACAGAAACATCGAAATAAAGCTGAAGAATATTCCATTTCGAAGCCAACTTATGAAAATCAATATTCTTTATATCAATATCCAAATGGAGTTGGACCGTTTACAACAGTTGCTGGAGCAGGAGCACCTTCATATGCTGAAATCCATTCCGATCGAAATAAATCATCAATGAAAAAGCTGTCGGGGGATCCACAAAAAGGAAGCAGTTCGAAAAAGCCTCCTAAAGAGTCGCACCGACAATCGTATTACAGCTCGGGCAACAATAAGACACATACGAAAAAAGAGAAACTATCAAATTCAGTGTATTTTAACTTTTTGGATACGTATACACCAGATCAAAACTACAGAAATGTACCAAGCTTTAACGGCGCCAATTTGTATGACAATCAATTCAACCAATTCAATCCATTCAGTAGCCCATTCAGTAGTAGTCAGAGCGCTTATGGAATCAAGCCAAATCAAGGTAGTATTATTCCCAGTTACAACAGACTAACTAACGGGCTAAATTCATTCACAAATACACCGTTCAACGCCTACAATAATCCATCATTCGCATTTAACGGAAATCTTCCCGTTCAAATTATTGCAAATGCAAAGCCATCAATTCCGTATAGCACACCAAAACCGAACGACAAATCCGAAGAGGCAGAAGAAGAAGTGCGTGTCAACAGACAACCAAGAACATAGATTGCTTGATGCCAAGTCAAATCTGATGATTTAGGCTTGAAAAATGTGCGTCATTCAGCTGTTTTATGAAAGACATATACATAACAATAGGATTAGCTCATAATTGATTTGCTCTAAAAACCATTTATTTTTCTACCAATTATTTATTTATTGAATAATAAAAAAAATCGTGTAAAAAAAATCGTGTAATTCTAATAGTATATATGGCATTGTTTATTCAAGTGTATTATCTATGCGATTGATGGCAAGAAGGTTGGAGTTGGTGGCAAATAAGTTGGAGCGGCTGGCAAGTAAAGACGATTTGGCTTTGTTTGTTTTTGGAATGGAGCGGAAACAAAGTTTGTGTTGAAAACAAGATCGGTTTGTTCAAAATGTTTGCCAGTGCGATCGAATTGAGCAAATCCATTGATTGTGTTAAAGCCATTATCGAAGGTTGGTGTGTCTGGGCTGAATCGGCTGCTAAGTCCATTGTTCAATCCGTTTCCGTTGTTCAAACCATTGAATCCATCGTTTTCACTTTGACCGAAAGTGCTGCCGAATGTGTTACCAAATGTGTTTCCTGAATTGAAGCCGTATGAAGCTGCATTGTTGCCGTTTTGGCCGTTATTGAAACCTTGATCATTGCCAAACGTTTGTTGGTTGTTCAATCCTTGTTGTTGTTTGTTGTATGGTAAATCAGGCACGTATCCATCATCAGCATCTTTTTGGATTTGGTTGTTGCCGTTATTGAAGTTGTTACCTGAAGCAATGATACGCAACGAATTAATTAAAATCAATTTGATTGAAGATCTGTCGATCGCTAATGATAATATTCCTTTATAATAAATCATAAGATATAAATTGCTTACCGTTTGAGAACGATGTGAATGGAGCGAATGTTAGTTTTTGCACTGGTGCTGCTGTTGGTTTCAGTTTGATTCTAAATAATGTCATCAATTAATAGAATTTTGATAAATTTAAAATTTGACAAAATCAATTTCGAACGGAAGATTCTTACTCGACTTCAGGTTGGTCATCCAATTCTGTTACGGGGTGATATCCGAATTCATCAGCAGTGTAACGTACTCGGTAGCGTTTACCATTGGAACCTGGACAATTAATCATGTAAGAGATTAATAAGAATTGTTGCAATACGTATCTATCTAATTTGATTGAAAATCAAATACCAACCAGTATATGTGTATGATCCACTGACAACGAAAGTCTTTGAATCCTTAAGTTTTCCAATTTGAGCAACATTGATACCATTTTCAGTTTCGAAACTGTAGACCAGTAAATATTTTGTTAGAACTTGGAACATTGCAAAAGAGCACGAAAATATCCTTGAATCAAATGGTTACTTACTTGTAGTTGAATTTTCCACCTCCTTGTACTTGTTTGATATTGAACTTTGTGGTCTTTGCTTTCATGACATCTCCTTGGAAATTGACTGGTGGGCGATCATCCTCACCGGTAATCAAGTGAATATCTTCTTCGCCGGCAAAGTCAGTGAAGTACTCCGAAATTGGCTTCTTAATTTTGGCAGCCGAAGCCAATGCGATGAATGCAACACAAACAACGATCTTCATCACAATGCAGAAGAAATAAGATAAAACAAATCATGTTTATTAACACATATTTTTTGTGCTCGGTTAAAATGCAAATTCATAGGCACCTAAATAACTTTATTAATAATATTTCTGTAGATGTAAAGCAAAGGTTATTTAATAAGACCATTTAATGTGACTTGAAACAAAGCAACCATGTTTAATGAGCTCACAACTAATTTACAACTTGTTAGTCGATGTGTTATCAAAATGGAATATCAAATATGAGTGCTTTGTTTGTTATTTTGTCATCACAAAGGGAAGACGGTCTGATGGCTATAAATTATAGCTATCGCGATTTGATTATCTGCTAAGATCGACCACGCAGTCTGCTCAAAATTGACATTTCAATCATACATAGACATCTCAATCATAGATAGATAGACAGAGCAGATGTGCCGGTTCATAATTCAGTTCTATCCAATTGACATAATTTCAATCGTTTTTATCACACGCCTAACTGGAAAATTATCCATTTGTCACGACCAGTTTGTTTTAATTAAAATTCAATATTTGTTTATGAAATGATACGTGACATTTGCGATCAATATTAATTTAACAAAGACACATCGATTAGTTAGCTTGGACACACCAATGTCATCATCGATGGAAACAATGAAATAATCCATACCATTAAAATGCGTTCAAAATTCAGGCAACAAATTCATATTTGGTTTTTTGCACACAAAATCCATCCAAAAAATCGATAAAGGCCATCAGATAAATAATCACGATTTTTAGGGTAAGTGTGTGTCGCTGTCTAACGTTGCTGGCTGTCGTTACTCATTAAACCAGTTTGATTTTTGGTGTAAAAGACACCGAAACCGAAAGAAATTTTTTTTCATTCAATCTTCGCACATCTTTCATTATGCATTAGCATACGCAATGCTTGACGCGCTCCATGTTTCAATGCTCATTTGCATAATTCATATGAGCCGTTTTCAATTCATTTTGATGTTAATATCTAACACCAACGAAAATTTTGGTCGACAGCTTGGTTCTGCGAGAATATGAGAAAACCAGCTTAATCGTTATCATGCCATCTTTATTTATTCGAATTCGTTCGATTTTCGTTTTCGATAATTTAATGTGATGCATATTTTCGATACAGTGCTGCAGAGAAGCGCGGCACATGTGAATGAAGTAGCCCATTTCAGTGGAGTCCATTTATCAACAGCTTAGCCTCAAATCACAAAAATTATGTAGCCGCTTTGTCTGCTTACATATTTTTTAGTAAAAATTTCCATAATTTCGGTTGTGGTCTCTTTTTCGATAGCTGACATCGCAACAGAGCGAAAATGGTATGTTCGATCTGGGAGAAAAAGAAGACATGAATGACGTGATTTATGCTTTAATATTTCAATTTGACCGTCATTGAATCATTCCAACCGCCCATTTAAGTCAACTGATACACATTTAGTTGTTTCGCGCCATGTTTATTCATTCCATTTAATTAACCACGGGCTGGATATTTATGTGCCAAATAGACAATTAGTGTCAAACAGTGATTTTATCAATTGGAATGAATTTCGAGAATTTTTATATTTGCTAAAAAAATTGATAGCAATTTCTGATAAAATGTAGAGAAATTTGTTGCATTTGTTATTATGAATATGTGGAATCAAACTAAGATTCGGCAAAATGTGTGATTTTTTTAAAAAATTGTCACATTTTCAGATGATTTTGTCATTTTTAAAAAATTATTTAAGACGAATTTGTTAAAAAAACGGACCATTTGCTTTAGACGAAATTGTTATTTTTTTAGACGTTTTTGTATTTAACCTAATTTTATTTATAAATATGAAGATTGAGATTAAAATCAGCGACTATGCCAAAAATGTCCAGCTTTGAACAAAAACGGGCAATTTCATATGAATAATCGCTTTTAAGTAGCGTCGTTGAACTGCAGTTGTTGACATGTGTTCTCAAGTGAGGCGGTCGATATCAAACGATGAATATAAAGCAAAAAACAAGAATTTTTCTTCTGGATACAACAAAATTCTTTATGTAATCCAGTAAAAAAATAGAAATCAGTCGTTTCGAAAGACGTTATTAACTTTTTTTATGAAATAATAAACAACGTTAATCTTCATTTTATGGGAAAAAATCTAACCGAAAACCCGGTGTGACGACAGAACAAAAATTTCATGGTTTGGAAACATGGTTTTGAAAAAGGGTAATTGATGTTTCACCACTGCAGCCAGAGCTAACATTTAATTAATTAATTACTTGATTAATTGATTTCCAGAAATATTGACATTTGAAATGTATTCATTGATTTTTATGTGACGAACAAATCATGATAATTGGACAAAAGAGAGCTTCTTCTTTGTAAGATAAGACGTAGACAAAAGTTCTAAAAAAGGAGATTTTTTTTTTGAACAACAAGTTTTTCGACGATGTCGATCATATATGGCTTGGTTTGTTCATAAATGTCCATCAAAAATGTTTATTATAGAAATGATTTTATCTATATTATCTATATACGATATACTCTCACACGTGTGCAAGGGGGGTTTTCCGGTTTTACCCCCCCCCCTCTAGGATTCCAAAATGTGAGACCCCCTCGAGCGATTTGAAAAATTTCACACTAGATATAATCGATTTTCAAAAGTGAGGACCTTTTTTTTGGGTCTTAATTTTTTTTGACACCCATTCATAAATTTCCGCCCCCCCCCCCCCCCCTCTGGAATTTTTGACCTTGAACACGTCTGTATACTCTGGATGCATAAAACGTGATCCGACAAGAAAAAGGCAAGGTTCATCCTGTCTATTTTGAAATGTAGAATTCGGCCATTTCGAATGGAACTCATTCGAATTTAAAATTATACCATAATTGCATGACCAAAGTATACACTGCATTTTGAGTGTATATTAACCCATGTAAAAAGGCAACAAATTATTAACGAAAAAAGAACGACAAACAACAAGATAATATTTATGCGTTTTTGTAACATTTCCATTTTGTTTCAAACCGAATAGTGTTTAATCTATCGTCAATGTAAATGTGAAATATAACACGCGATGATCTGATTGAATCAACCGATCGCCCCCAGGCGAAATGTTAAGCATGTATTTAGCGTGTTAGCACACCGACAGATTGAATTTGCAGAAGATGACGATTGAAACGGAATAAAAAAAAGTTTCAAGTAAATATCAATAAAATGGATTAAGATCGTTTTTTATGCGCACCCAATTCGATCATAATTGATTATTTCCTGATTTATGTATGTTGTTCCGAGAGATTTTGATAAAACCGTAATAATGCTACAGTGTAGCAGCTACACATATTCAGTGATTGAAAAAACTGATTTGCACAATTCTTTTGTCTCATTGATATAATCGCAAAATGGATCAACTGGATCAAAGCGAAATGTGTATAATCTCGCACTAAAATGAAACCCGAATATTTGCATAAATGGTTGAGACCTTATCAGCGGCGTGGACAAATGCACCGTTTTCATTTTTGCTTATTATATTGATAGTTGCCCTCTAGCATCTCTTCCGGAGATCAGTCCGTTTCACAAATTATCAGCTTTAATGTTTGAAACTTTTTAATGAATTCACTCTCTGGTTTTTATCTCCCGACTCATTTTTTCTCTGCTTTTAATCGTCATGAAAAACGGAATCGTGATATCTTTATGTTTGTTCCAAGTCAAGTTCAGTTTGTTTGTTTTTTCGGCAAAATCTAGATGGACACCAGTAATTAAGGATGCTGCATGTTCTGAAGTGATTTAAGAAGGAAAATCCACGAAACGTTTGGGAAAAAAGACTTTGATCGAACGTTCAACCATATCATTATAACTGCAGCACACATTTTGCGTGCTCATTTGGCATTCGTCCGGTTGATTTTTCTTCGGCCCACAAAGCTTCCATATCCAAATCTGAATAATCTCTTTAATGACTCCAAAATGAAGAAGACACTTCTAAGTAAGCTCATCTGATTTACTCCGAAAACACTGACAAGCACCAGGAATCAACGTTAATAAATGAGTCACAAGTTGACAGAGATTATGCAATAATAAAATAAGTGGTTAGAAACGAGAATATAGTTTCTTCTTTCATTTTTTTTTGTTCAGCGTATTTAGTGTATACATTAATCAATGGAGTGAAAATTTAAAATACTATGATTTAAAGATTAAACTAGGAAACAAGCTCATATTTAAATCGTTCTACGGTTGTTCTATTTTTATATTCCATATTTTTTGGAACTCGGTCAAAAACGTGTTTAATTCATGCAAATCGAAGCTCATAAATCTTGTAATTTCTGATGAGAGTCGTCCGTATTTTGGTCAGAAATCAAAAGTAAACATAATTTCAACGATGATAAACCATTAAGAAAAGTTGGGTCGTCAAGTGGGTGTGTAGCGCAAATGGTGTAAATTAGTATGTATCAACCCACTCGAGCCACAAACATAAGATAAAATCAAGTTCACTTAATGGATATCAAATATCTGCGTATTGCTAACCGTTTCGAAAATGAATGGTGTCAAAAGAATAATTGATAAAATTGTCCAAAAATGGTATATTGAACACTTGATCAACTTCTTCATTGTTTCAAGTAAGTAGCCAAAAAGTGTTAACTCAATCACAAAATATGGAATAATTGAAAATAAAATTCACTTACAAGTTTCATTATTTTAATATAAAATAGAGAAAACTGCTTCACAAAACTAAATTGAAAAACTATGAAAACGACTAAAGCCAATAAAGCGACTCGAATCAGTCAGTCATTCAGGAACAAATAGTAGATATGAAATGATGAGTGGCTTTGGGTGGCATGGGATATTTATATTGCGGTGAATATCGAGAAAAAATTGTGAAGTTGGGAATAAAGTGTAAAGCATGAAAGCACGACTGCGGCCGGCCCCCACGAAAGAAAAAACAACATCATCAGCAGCAGCAACAACAACAACGCCTATAGAAGGGATCCGTTTAAATTTAACCCATCGCTAAAGTGGTTTCTGCAATTTATTTGTGTGTGTGTGTCTAGTATCTTCTTCTTCTTATATTGATTGGTTGCCATTCTTTCGTCACTGAATGAAACTGTATCATGTTAACACGTGCAAAATACACATATACATTTCGCACTGTTCCCGGAACAGTTATAGCCCGTATAAATGTATGGACGCATGGATTATATATGATCATCGATCGATGTTATATTTTGGCATAAATTTAAATATTAGTTCCATTAACGTTTTTTGCTGCGATTTGTCTCTGGATCGTGACTCCTCACATCAGACCCTTCCCATTGATGGTTTAGGTGCAAGAAAACAAAAACGTTTTGCTTTCTTTTTGGCACAAAATCATGACACTATAGATAAATGCACAGTGATTTTTTGGTTGCGCTCAAGGTAGATCATAATCGCGCATTGCCTTCAAATGATTTTTTTATTAATTGGTTGCGGGCGAATGGTTAAGAAGAAATACAAATACACCATAAATTGATGTTGAACATAATGAGGAAATATTTGCTTCTGATTCGCGCCCTAAATCACATCGACAGATTTGTTAGCTGCTACCATTTACTTCGACGGAGTTGTGTCAACTTTAATTAAATATATGACAAAATGAAGCGCGAGCAAAAAAAAATCGCATTCAAATTCACACGTTGATTAATTGTCAGCTATATTTGGTGGAAAGAGTCGTCTTTTCGATTGATTAGTACAATTAAAGTGTCCAATCATATGAGACACATTTTTTGTTCCATCGCATACATTTCTTACCTGTTTGCAGACGATCAGACGTCTATTGACTTTATAATTAGATTCGCAATGCCCATATGCATCTATCTTAACCTTGTTTTCCATACATCATACACACAACCTGCAAATCGTATTAAAATAAACAAAATCCGCATTGTTGATTTATAATTCCATATGCTCGAGTTCCATCTCGATTTCGTTTTTTTTTATTACTTCTTTTTTATATTTGTTTAAAAAATCGATCTATTTTTCAGTTTTATTTTCTTCTTCCTTCTTTTTATACATTTACAACTAGAACTGATAGTTTTTATGAGAGAACAACAATTCACACAGCAATTTTGTGTTTCGATAGGTTAATAAATGGATCGTAAAATATGCGTAAAAAATTAATCGTACATGTGGCTGTAGCTCTCTTGGAAAACTTGGATGTAGGTCTCTTTTTCTTGGGGCGTCATTTGGGCAATGATTTCATCATTCACCTCATCAAGTGGTATCGGTTTACCAGCAACAAACACGGTTGGCTCATCACTATCCGACTCTGTATCGATCACATCAACATCAGCTGGAGGAAAAAATTATAAAATGCAAGAGAAAAAACAACTCATTAATGGAAATATTGAGAAGATAAAAAGGACCGCAGCACTTAAGCAAAAGTTAAGATGTTTATTGAAATTAGATAAAAATTGTCGGAAGTCAAAAGAAGTTTTGGCCACTTACGAATTTGTGCGTTTTCGATTTCTTGTTCATCATCACTCGAATCACTGTTATTGGTCGAAGCGGCCAACGATCGAACGGCTGCATCGTTTGTATTCCCTTTGCCCGGTTGTTTTTCGTGCTGCAGCAGCACCGACATAATATCTTCATTGTCTTTGCGTCCTCTTGATGCGATAACTTGTGACGAACTTTGCGCTGCTTGCTGTAGCGCCGAGTCAGATGTATCGTTGGCATTCTCCGACGTGACAATTGTACTTTCGGTCATCCAAATTGGCCGTTCTTTCGTTTTAACCATTTCCATTGGATTAGCATCGCCAATCGTAACATCCACACGAGTCTCTTCAACGGCAAAGCCTTGGTTTCGTGTTGCCTCTCCCGACCATGGTTCACTGCCATTGGCCGCATTTCGATTGTCCGAACGTTTGTTCATGCCGCGAATCGTTTCAATATCCACCGGTTCGGGTTCGAGACATTCGGGCGCTAATTTGATATTTTCGGCCGTTTTCAATAGTTCAAAGAACGATTGCATTTGCTCATTAAATCTAGCTAACATTAACCGTGAGTCTTTTTGTGGCAGTGCCGATGCATCTTCTTCCACCAAACAGCTGCAGTAGGTGCACCGAAATTCTGAGGTTATTTGATCAAACAGTTGATCGGCTTCCAAATCGGTGAATGTTTTTTGGCAATTCACACACTTGAAACTAGCTCGACTAGTCGCATCACGCTCAGTCGTCTCCATACGCTTTCGCATCCAGTCTAATTTGTATTTCACTACATTCACCAGTGTTTTGTAATTGATAAAGTAATAGGTAACTTTAGCCGCTTTGCCATCGGGACCAGTTTCCATTTTCAATCGACCTTGGAGCAATTTGTCATTTTTCAATATGGTGATTCGGGCACGCAACTGCTTTCGATCGAAGTTCAACAGATCACAGATGTCATCTTCTTTCATACCTTCATTTTGGGATGGTGAATAGAAAAGGATGAGTTAGAATCGATTGGAATCATCGCATTTATTACACAAAGTTGGAGTCGGGGGAAAGTTGTGTTATTCTAGTAATATTTAGATTGTTTTTGCAAATGAAGCAATATAACTGTATTATTCAATGCTCGCAAAGTATCGCTTTGATTGGCTTGGTTTGGCTTACATGGATTTCGAACAAGCATATCAACAATGAGGGCATCTTCGATTGAGTAGAATCCTCTCACCACGAACCGGGCCAGTTGCTTCAAAACACTGGGAATTTCAGTCAAAAGCTGATCCCCCATCTTGTCAGCTACGTTGATATTTGCTAAATCCTAAACCTTGAATACATCAGAAACAAAATGCAAAAGTTACTTTCTCTTGAACTAAATCACAATCTCACAGAAAGTTTCGTTCTTCATTAGTGTCAATCAACGAATTGAAAAAATGGCTCACACCTAAATAAAAGCACCAAAAATTTATAATAGGGAACAAAATCGTCGAAATCCACGTAATTTTTACAATTTCATCGAGTCAATTGATATGGATATTCTTGTTATTGAACTCTTGTCACAGAAAAATCTATTTGTGTTTGCAAATGTTAGCAACAAAACAAAATACCGCGTTTGTACTATATCAAATGGTCTTTGAAGATGTCAGAATTTATGCACGGTTTTCGAAACCGGTAGGTAGACACTTTGTGTATACCATTACACACTCATATACACACCCAGTCACACTGTGGACACCGCTTAAATAAATGCGCACAACTTGAACAGAAAAATGCAAATTGATCGATACTTGAGATGAATGTCATTTGAATTTGACACATTTTCAATTGAGTCATTTAAGCAATTTATTCGGTGCAGTCCCATTAAATTTGTTGACGAGTTCACAAATAGAAGTAAGCCAAACACAATTTTCCCCGAAAATTTGCAGTAGTAAATCCATCAAAACGTACAACAGATGGCGCTGCATCTGCAAAAAATCTTCACTTCACATAATATTCAAACACTTTGAAACTTTTTGTTTATTTATTTATTTTTTTTTTAATTTTCTTTGGTTTATTTTTCTTTTATTTTGACATGGAATAAACCTAAATATAGAATAAAAATTTGTTTGGCATAGTTTTTCCCTGTGGTTTTGACTTACGATGATGTTTCAGGTGCTGTTGGCGCTTGTGTGCTAGTTGTTGGCATTAAATTCAAATTTTTCTTCGGACCGAACATGAGTTTCTCAAGAACAACAATTGGTGATTCCAACGCGAGCGATGCAATTATACTCAATAATGTAGCAGCAATGATATCACCAAAGAATTTGAAAAGCTGTAAAATGCATCAAAAAAATTTTAATCCTTGTTTTCTAATATCTGTCGAAATGAATGAAAGAAAATCGCTCACAATGGTTCGGCCAGAGAAGATCAATGGCCTGTGTGTGCTTGCGGCAGTCATCAACATGATAGGCATATGCACCAAATAAATGGCATACGTTAATCGTGCAAATGGTTGCCAAAATTGAAGCGATAGGAACCAGTTGACCGGGCCACCGTAGCCTTTGACGCAGGCATAAATCACCAAACACAAGAAGAAACTCCAAAGAACACGACTGACTGGTGTATAAATGGCCGACTCCATTGGAGTGCCTTTGTGATCCATTTGCTGCAATTCATACGTATAATAGGCGAGAACACCAAAAATAGCAGCCGATACGACCCAATGAACCAAAACACGAATCTGAACATGTTTAAAAATTTGTAATTTCAAGCAATTCAATATGTTGTTGCTGACGGAAGCTTACCGCATGCCATCGCTCTCTTCTTCCATGTATTTTGAATATGAAATAACCAAACATAACACCGACGAGCCAAGGTGACATACGAATATGTGTTGGATAGTATGTTAAAATAAATGTTTCATGAATATCATTTCTACAAGGAAGAAAATGTATGTTTGATTAATTGATCAGACATTTTCGATCAGACAAACTCTCAATACAAAAATTGGAAATGAAAATTTGAAAAAGAAATTGTCATTTCAATTTTAGCGTGGATACTTCTGGAGATTTCTTACTTTACATTCAAAACTTGATTGACCAGTTCAAAGTGCACGTAGAGCCAATACGTCCAACCCACACAAACGCCAATCAAAACGCAAATGATCGCAATCATAAAGTATCCAAAATGATACAGCAAATAGCCTATCAATGGTGCGAACAAAAACAATTGCATATCCACTGATAAATACCAGGTGTGTGACAAACACTAAATGTTCATCATCAAAGAGACAGTCAAAGCGTTGTGCATTAAATTCAAAAAATAAGATTTAAAAAATGGGTTAAATTATGTTGTGAAACCGAAAATTGTGTATATACTGCTGTTATACTCACGATTACATCGGGATTATAATAATTTTGGATATACAATAGTGATGACCACCAATACTTATCGCAGTTGATAGCATTTAAAATGTATGACCACCAAAGTGGGCCGCTTCCGATCTTGAAAATGACGTTAAAATCAGATTATATACATTCATGATGTTGATAGCAAATAAATGCGTTTATTACCCTTCTGAACAGAGTCAAACTGATGATTATGATAACGGCTAATAGCGGTGTTAGACGCAGGTATCGATGAACGTATATCATAAGGTAATTTGCTTTGCCATCTCTAATCTCAAAATTAATGAAATTTCAATTTAACTCGATTGAAAAATTCGTTTTTTTTTTGCTTTTGTAATTTTTTTTTCAGAAACAAATTGGTTTTTTTTATTTGGCTTACGTTTTATTCAAATGTTTTAGCATTGACCATGTAACCAAAAGGCCAGATAGAAAGAGAAAGGTGTCCACTGAAAATGGCGCAAGCAAAAGAACGGTTGTCGAATAATGTGATGCCCACTGAAAATTGATTGATATTTTCATTTTTTAACGATTCGATCCATATACGGTTATAAAAAAAAAGATCCATTTTCAATGATTTTAATCCAGTTTTGAATGAAACATAAGAAAAACACACTCATTCCAGAAGCCAGCATACATTTCATGTTTTTGTTTTAATACGAATGAAATTGTTTACCTCTGGAATGTATGCGAAATTGAATATCGGAGCAAGCATTGTCATAACGTGAGCATGAGCATAGATCACCCATAGCGCTGAGAATACGCGAATTCCATTCAAACAATCCATTGTGTGCTCCGATCTGGATCGTTTTGTTGCAAACAGTTTTCGGCCATTTGTGTAAATTGAAAATGCAATGAGAACTGGCATCTTTTCCTCTGAAATCAAAAGAAACTGTAAATTCTGTCTGTGATCGAAGAATATGAAATTTACCGTCTCTTCTGGTTTTAGCCAAATCATATATCGTCGATGAGATCATGATTACTCCCAAGAATAGAATGAATCCTCTATATCGAAAAAATAATTTCAAGAGGGGAAATTGATATAAACTCAAGACGGCTTACAGAACAAAACAGTCGGCAACATCTAAATTCCAATTGAGGTCCTCTTTAACATGGCATGTATTAGGTACTATCGACACTACTGCTTTGTCTCGGAAGATTCTTTTTTGTATTGTCTTGAACAAACGCTCGATTTTTTCTTGTGTACATGATTTTGGAACACAAATACCAAAGTTTAACCCTAACATATTCCTGTAAACAAAAACGGAATCAACCAATTCTGATCGGTCAAATGGTACTTGTAACGATTTTGTTGTGATGTTCTATGATTTAAGTCTGAACTCACGAAGTAGTCGGCACAATTTTCGTTTGTGGTTTCGCTCCATCATAGCCACTCATTGTATCGACCAGTGACTTCATTCTGCTTTGAATGAAGTTCTTTTGGTTTGGCATCAGCAGGTCATCTTTCGATAAACGAGCAAGGCTGAAAAATAATAATTGGTTTTACATAGAATTGGCGACCATATTCATTTGTATCGCTTAAATAAGTCCATCATTTTTTTTGGTTGGTTTGCTTTCGTACCAATATCGAGGATGAAAATGTTCGGGCTTATCAATATTTAAACATTCATCGAAATCGCCAAGGTCATACATATTACCACGCAGAATACCTAATCAGAGAAGATTTATCTTGATTATACACAGATATGATGAAATTGGACCGAGTGCAGGCAGCAAAAATATTGTACACAGGCATACCTGATGGCAGTTTTCCCCACGAATCAAACACTGAAATAGATTAAACACACACTCATTCATCGTTGATTGTTTTTCTGTGCAAATTTTATTTAAATCAATATTTGAACATAAATGTATGTGTAAGTTCACACATCATTTGTTCAAAATAATAAAAAAAGACATAAAGATACGGGCGGAATTAATAAATTATTCTAGCTTTGTTGACATGTTTTGAATATTTTTCACAACGATTTCGATCTTGTTATTGATTTTGATTTGAGTATCAAATTTCATTGATCATCTTTGATTTTGTCTCATCCAAAAATTGAAATAGGGATTTTATCGCTCTGGAAAAATTGTTTTTTTAAACAATTTCCGCCAAACCAAATCGCACAATGAAAGAATTGTCAACGAATCAATGGGATATAACAAAAACATGAATAAAAATCATATTAAAAATTGAAAAAATTTCGAATAAATAAAAAAGGGAACAAAAACCAAGCTCTGGTCTTATTTCCAACAGAAAAGTTCCAATAGTTCGATGAAATTAATTGAAACATTTTCAAATTATAATTTTTTTTCTTCAATTTTTCACGTCACATTCAAAAAATTCATAATCAATATAGTTATCAGTTTGAGCTATTGTACTAGATTGCTCAAGCCATTGGTAAAATGGTCGTATGGTGGCGCCACCATGCATCGCTTGGTAAAACTTCATTAGTGATACGGATGTTTGTGTGTATTGCAAGTGACGTTCATTTTCCCACCAAATAATTTGCTCGGCATTTACGATAATCACCAAAATATTTCGGGTAAATCTTTGAAAAACCATAAAAACTAGTCATAATTTTGAATAATTTACATCAATTCATGTGGATAACTAAAAAAATCACGGTAAAACCGTCGAAAAAAGCATAGTGATTAACGCACACAGACAACGGAAAATCGATTCAAATGAATGAAATTGACTGCTTGCGCCACCATTATGAATAAAAACGCTTGCGAACTACAGTGGAAAAAAATGCTAGCGTATACATAAAACCACCGCAATGCGAACGTGCGTTTCTGACATTTTATTTATTTTATACGGAGCTGGGTATTCATTTTACATTGATGAACGTACGCGCTTCGGTCGAAGTACACAAAAAAAAATTCTGTAAAAAAAAATTCGGAGGCATCATTGTTGATGAATTAAGTGCGAAAATTGTGTGGATTTCGATAATGTAAACGAATCCGCATCGTTTTCACGTTTTACGGACAGTGCAAGAGGTTTTCATAAATCGGCGTTGATTTCTGAAACAGAGCGTATGTGTATTAAAGAAGCGCAAAGTGTTTGCGTTTTGCGGGCTTTCGATTTCATTGAGATATAATTTCCACACGGCGTTGAACAATCCGTGTTTGTATTCAGTTTAGTTTTTTTTTTTCCTGCTATTTCGGCCCGCTCTTCGCATTCGGTAAATTAAACATTTGCGATTGTTTTGATCGAGTGCATAATTGTGTGGTGGTGTAAATTTCGGGACGAAGAATTCATTTTTAGTGCGGTATATACTTCTTTTTTTCAAGTGGAATCAAATAAGTAAAGTGTAAGCATTGGTCGTGTAGCCGTAGTTCACTGTACGACACACACGCATTGTGTGTGCTATTAGTCAATAAGCTAATCAATAAGGAGAAGTTGAGTTTTGTTTTGTTTTCTCTGTGCAACCAAACGACACACGAAAATTCAGCGCATTTAAACAAAAAAACACACACACACATATGAATGTATGGAAATTATGTGCAAAGCATAAAAAAAGAAATTTAAACCAAACGAATGAGAAAGAAATGCATAATTTTATATTTGCCACATGTCATATGTAGAAATTGTTTTTGCTTTTTTCGACAGGTTTTTTTTTGTTCTCTTTCGTTTTATTAATTGGCCATTTGCATTCGATTTCATGCAGGCACTTGTGTGGAAGGAAACGTAACCATGGAAAGTGAAACATACCGCTTTATTTCATTAATTGAGAAACATCCCCAATTATATAATAAAAAGCATAAAGATTTTTTGCGCCAAGACATTCGCAATACAATATGGGACAGCATTTGCAAGGAGATGAATTGGGATGGTGAGTTTAGTATTTTAAATATACACATGAAGCATTGCTAGTAAAAATTGTGTGGAAAGACCCGCCATTTTTTGACATACTCAATTGTTTTTTTTTTGTCTGTATTTGTGTCGTCGTCGTCGTCGTCGCTGTCGCATTAGATACCAACAAGGCAAAGAAGAAATGGCGCAATCTTCGTGATAAATTCGTGAAGAAAAGGCGCCGACATGGCAGCGGCTCCAACTCGAATGAGGACGAAAGCCAACGAGAATTCTACAATAGCCTAATGTTTCTGGATGGGCATGTAAACAGTCGAAAGTGAGTAGAAAAACCAAACTAAGCAAATATGAAAAAAAATCAGAGTGTAACACCAAAAATGAAGTAATACAATTTGCCATTGGTGCTCTTGTTTCTCGTTCAATGTAGTGCTCGTACAAGTCAGGGTCAGACGACGTCTGGATCGACCACCAATACGGTGATAAGTACAACAACCACCACGCAGCAGCCGCAATACGTGCAAGTCAGCACCAATCAAATACCAATCGAGCACATAAACCTGGAATATTTGTCCGGTGTCAATGTCACCGAAGACGCTCAATGTTTACTCGACATTTCTAACAATACGAATGCCATAGCCAATCATCAACACCCTCCGCCGCAACCGCAGCAAACTCAACAAATTCAAACGCAACCGCAATCCCAACAGCATCAAACCCATGGCCAACCGCAGCATCAATCGTTGGCTGCCCAGCACATTCAACAATTCAAAATTGAATTTCAAGATCAGCTCGAAACGAGTATGGACGAAAAGATCAGCTTGAATCAGGTATGTCATCAGGAAGGCGAAGAGGTCATTGTACAGCAATGCGAAGTGGAAAATGCTACATACGATGCACAAACGCATACATTGACCCCAACATCGACCACATTGGCGCCGATACCAACGGCCATACATCGTGCGCACACCACCAATTCGGGTCCGAAAAAGATTTATCATCAAGTCATCAACAGCAACGGATTGATTACCACAAATCAACATCAGATTGTTACGGCACAAATCAAGCGGCCACGTATTGAGGTCGCCGATCAACAGGACATTGGCGAAGCGATCACCGCCGCCGTTGACTATTATAAACAGCAAACGGCCATCGCTGATGCCGATGCTGCATTTGCCAAATACATTTTAGAGGAGCTGCGCGAAATGAACAAAAAGCGCAAAAATGAGTTTAAACGAATGGTTACCACTTGGCTAACCACTGAAGAAGATGACGGACATGCGGAATGACGAATGCCAGTACGGCAACGTCGATACCGATGATGAATTTTCCTTTGATAAGGAAAATATAAACACACACACACACACACCCACTTAACGAAAATAAAACAAAAAAAATCAATGGTTACACAAGAGTAATTTCTTTTTTTGTCGAGAGAAACACACACAAAATAATATGGCGAGCAGTAATGAATGGAGTGAAATAATAAAAGAATGGAGAGGATTCAGAACATTTTTTTTTTCGTCGAAGATAAGATTTGCACTAAGGAGTTACGTTGCTTGGACTTGGATGGGCACGATGCGTTCGGACCCAAATCGCAACGGACATTTCTTTTTTTAATTGTATTTTAAAATTCTTTTAAAACAAAATATCCTTTGAAACATTATTTTTATGTATGTCATAGTAAATTTGCATTGTGGAAATATATATAGGCTTATGTCTCATAAAACAAAACCGGATTAAAAAAAAACACACACACACACCATAAATACGAAATTGAAATTGTAATTCACACATAAGCAACACGTACGAACCCACACCGAAGCAGCAGCAGCAATTGAGAGTCAAAAAAACAAACTCACATACAAACACATATATACACTCAAAAACACACAGAGAGAGAGACCAGGACCCATGGAATAATTTGCATCGATTTGAAGGATGCAATTTACCAATGGAACATAGAAAAAATAGCATGAGAAACATAGATTTCTAATTGAGCACATTTTAGAAAAAAGTGTATTTTTTCTATAAATCAAAATTTAAGAGAATCTACTTTCACATCATGTGTAAATTCTGTAATCGTCTTGTTAAAGAAAAGGAATCAAAATAAAAAAAAATACTTAAAAAAAGCTACAAACAGCAAATACACTGTGTGTTCGCTCTCTCTCTCTCCCACTATCTCTGCGTTGCATTCATTTGGATTAAAATCGTTTTCGAAATTGCATTTCGATAATTGTGTCAGACGAATGCGAAATCCAATTCTAACCTAGGTACATCTTAGATTGTGCGTTGTTATCGTCATTCAATCGGAGATACTTGAACGTCGATCAATAGTCGTTCACAAGTGCAAAATCATAAATTAACCCTTTATCGTGACCAAGTCGACCACACAATGACTTGCTGGAAATGGACATGTTTTTCTCTCAACAGTTTAATACTCGATCGTTCACAGCACTTCAATGAAAAAAAAAAAAGATCGACTCAAAATATTTATTTACCTCGAAAAGCCCAGGGTTTCTTCTTCCTCAATCCGTTAAATATACGGAGAAAATCTAGAAAGCATGGACTTTTGCCGAACAAAATACGATCCGTTGAATTTGTTTTCCGGTCTTCTTGATCTGACTCCAATCGAATAGCTTCTTCTAAATAACGCGGAAAATGAAGAATCAAATCCTCAGCGACTTCCAAATATGTTCCATTTCCATCAGCGGACGTAGATACCACCAATAACACGACGCCAATTAAGGCAAACAAACCGAATTTCAACATCTGGAATTTTTTCAAACACACAATTTAAAGACCAACTTTTAACAGTTGTATTTATAACGATCCGTCGCACTTAATGAACGATGTTAACGGCTGGAAGTTCTATTGATACTGTTGCGTATCCTTCCATTCAGCGGTTGTTTTATTACACGCGACTTAGCACTTTGGCTACCTATTGTTTGCAAGACATACAAATTGGTAGAGAGTAAATTTCAATTGATAACGACACGACAGAAAGTACATTGCATGTAAAGTATCTGCAAATGGAGTGAGATTATATACGAGAATCGTATGTGTTGCAAATCAACGGTGTGTGTATTTCGGGAGTCATCTGTTTTCTTACAACATCAGTATTTCTATATTTGTTCATCATTTGTTACCGTTTGTCGGGTAGAGAGAGAGAGGGGGAGAGAGAAAGAGGGGGGGAGAGTAATCCATAACAAAGAGAGTAACCAGAAAAAAACAGTCAATCGAAAATGACGTGCCTTATAGTAAAAAGAGATTTGCAAGTAGTAAACACGTGCAAAAAAAAATGTCTATCGATCCCGTAGATATGTTATAGTTTAAGCGCCTGTTTATTGCATACCTTGTCGTAGAATTACTTTTTATTGGGTGAATTCCACTATCGATGGCACATTGATACAATGACATTTTTGGCAGATGATTTACAACTCGACCGGTTAATATATATATATATGCAATAAACAGGTGCTTAAACTATAACATATCTACGAGATCGATAGACATTTTTTTGCACGTGTTTACTACTTGCAAATCTCTTTTTACTATCAGGCACGTCATTATATATATATATATTCAAACATATTGAGAATAGCATTTCATTGACCTAACTTCAGTTGCATTTTTTTCAGTCTGCTAATCAGGTCAGATGCACCGCAAATTCAATTGCGAAAAATGCGTTCTTTAAACTTTTTGAAGGAAATCGTTGTTGGCAAATAAAAGTGATAGAAATTCCCGATAATTGCCTTTTTTGCAAACGACCGAAGCATTATGGCTATTCCATTGTATTTTTTTTTCTTTTTTGATCTACCAGAGAAATTGAAAAGTTAAAAAAAATCGTGTTTTCCGATTTCCGTTTTTTTCTCTCTCGATTAATAATTCCAAAATCAAATCGGAAGAAGAAACGCATTTACCAAGCGCATGATTCAAAAAGTGAAGCGCATCGAATTCCGCAGATGCCACACAGATGGCGCCATCAGTGCGTCACGGCGAACATTGACACATTGCTTGTCGGCGAAATCGTACTTCATCTTGAATTTTACGGCAACTAAACTGTCTCTTTTTGTTCCGGTGTTCAAACATTATAGAACGCAAAGTAGGTTTTTCTCTGAATAAAATCGAAAAAATTCCTCATCATCACGTAATTAAATGCATCAAAAATAGTATCGATTTAACGGGCAGACCACAAATTTCTATGATAATCCATTCGATTGGCGAAATTGTGATAGTTTTAAGATAATTTTAATTTAAAAAAAAATTCTTTGGTCAGTTGATGTTATAGTGAATGTTTCAAGAGGCAAACTACTATGGTTATGTTTTTGTTGTACATTAAATGTGGTAGATAAATTTTCGGAAAATTTGTGTGGAATTGAGTAGTGTAACGTGGTTTGCTGTTATTTTTGAAACTATTTGATGTTTTTTTTTTCGGTGACATTTCAAATGATTGTCGACATTTTACTAATACGAGTGTGTTTCTCATTGCAGAATGTTTATGCCAAAGTCGCATCGTGTCCAAATCTATGAACATTTGTTCAAGGAGGGAGTTATGGTTGCCAAGAAAGACTTCAACGCACCAAAACACCCAGAATTGGACGTTCCAAACTTGCACGTCATCAAAACCTTGCAATCGTTGCAATCCAAAGGCTTAGTCCGTTCACAATTCGCATGGAGACATTACTACTGGTAAGAAACAATGCATACATGTGAATGAAAATGTCAGTGGTTTAATTGGATTTTATTTCATGGTGATAATTTCAGGTACTTGGAAAACGAAGGTATTGAATATCTCCGCTCATACTTGCATTTGCCATCGGAAATCGTTCCATCGACATTGAAACGTGCTGCCCGTACCGAACAAGCCGCTCGTGCTCGTCCAAGCGCTGCTCCACGCACTGGTGACAGCAAAACTGGCGCTGATCGTTCAGCATACCGTCGTGCTCCAGCTGATGGACCTGACAAGAAGGGTGATGTCGGTGCTGGAGCTGGTGATGTCGAATTCGTAAGTTTGCTGACTTGAGATTTTTTTTTCTCCCGCTCATTTTTTTTCTACTATTGACACATTCATTGTGATGGCATGATTAATGACTAACGTTTGACTTTCTTTCTATTTGCAGCGTGGTGGATTTGGACGTGGTTCACGACCTCAATAAACTAATGGTATTCGAAACCAATAACACTTGATTAAAATAAAGATCAATTTCTATTGAAAAAAGATTGAACATGACTGCGTTTCACTTGACATCCAATTTTGAACAGTTCCCTTGACGGTATTTATTCAGTTACTTAAAGCGAGTTTCTGAAACGCTTCATCGAATTGCAAAGCTTGCCATGATTTAAAGAGTGGAACAAACACTTGACATTTATCTCCTATTCATCAGGAAGAGATATCCTAATGAATGGAATTGATCATTTTCTTCTGAATTTCGGCTAAAATTGAAACATAATCAAGAAAAGAGGTAAGCATCAGCCTAAATCAAATGAAAATCAAAAGAGAGGTACAACAAAAATCGTTTCAAATATAAGGATAACCATCAAATAGATATATATTTGGTGTAAATGACTTTTTCCACAAGTTAAATGTTAACAATGGTACATAAAAATTGCGGTAATCAACAATAATTGAGATTTGAAAAAATAAGGCGGAAAGAAAGTGAATTGCATTGTTGTTTTAATTGTATTTGAATGTATCTTAGCAGAACTTCCAGCGATTTCCGCACATGTTGCAAAGCACGAACGTTGTCATCGGTTCATCGGCCGATCGGGTTTGCATTTGATTGTATGTACAGTTGCGACCTTTGCATTTGCCGCATTTCAACAAATCGGTTTTGGTTCCTTCAGCCGTGGCCAGTTGCGCGTCATTTATCGCTTCTTTCACGAATTTCTCGCGCACTTTTTTCATTTCATCGCTTGCCATTTCTTCTGGTGTCATTTTGGCCAAGACTAGAAGAACAAATCAATCATGGTTTATCAACCAATAAATTCCAAATTGAGAACGAATAAAAATAATGTTGATCAATAGAGACTACCTGCTGCAGTGATGGCACCAGACACATAATTGTCACGTAGTGTTGGATTTTTGGCGTCTTTTAAATTGGAGACACGAGATCGAACACGATTTTTGTAGCGCATGTCGGTGTTCCTGAATTCGGCATAAATGCAATCTTCCAATTCGTCAGCCAACTGTTCAGCAGTTTTGAAGGAACCTTCTTGTATATCACCATCACCTCGAATGGCTTGAGCCAGCAATTCACGGCATTTTAGTCGAACAGCATCGGTGGTTGAACTTGCTGACGAGTTGGATTTGTTGCCATTGCTCGAGCTGTTCTTCGATTGACTCCGGTCCGAGTCACCCTTGTGAGAATCCGATTTCTTGTGGTTGCTACTCGACGACGACGATGATGATGATTTCGAGGATGACTTTGAACTTTGACTGGAGCTCGACGAACTTTGACTGGAGCTCGACTTGCTTGCTGGCAAATATTTTTTCCAATTTTTTATCAACGTTTTGCTCAAAGAAATCACCTCTTCGTTGTCACAAGTTTTCCGCAATTCATTCACAGTCATTCCGATTCGTGTTTTTGTCAAGATGTTCAGGTCGATCTTAAGATTTTTCAACGTCTTCAATAGATCCAACGCTTGGTCCTGTCGAATGATACAGGAGGTTAGAAAATCATTACAGTTAGATTTTATAGATTAGAAAAGTTTATTAAGCATTAAATACTTGATAATCAACTGTTCAAAAGTCTTTTATCTGTTGAAAAACTTTTGGAACTATGGCATTGGAAAAAAAGCTACTCACCGAACCATTGTTTGAGTTAATTTTCACCAATTTTCTTTGAATATCCAAAACTTCGTCTTCAACACCCATGATGCTTATCAATTCAACGAAATTTGCGTTTCGTTTTCGTCACAAAATCACTTTTCCCTCCGTACAAAAATAAATCGTGTATCGAATAAAAGATACCAGAAAAATATGCCGATTGCGATTTGACAGCGGTCACCAGTTAAACTAAAGCAGTAGTGCGCTGTCAATGAGAAACATTCGAAATGGGAAATGACCATAAAAAAATATATATATTGCACTCATAATGCAAAAATGAAATTCCAATCGATTTTTAGAAGCAAAACAAAACATAGAACCCTTCATTATCTCATAAATTATTCCTGGCTTCTCATTGCAATGTGCTTCGAAAAAGGTGCTATTCAAAAATGTAGTACTTGAGCGAGAATGAAAAACTTGACAAGCGCCAACTTCACGCCGTTCATCCATCTGATTTTTCTCTTTATTTACATTTTGTTCGCACAAAAACATCTGACAATCTTCGGAATACTATCAGTGCCCTTTCAAGTTTCAAGATGGCAGTACATTAAGTCGTATTCGTGTCAAATCTAATGTGTCTCGTAATATTGCATGGAGCAATTGAGTAATTTTCCATTTATAAATTCGTAAATTCCAAGTGAATAATTGGATATAATTTAATTTTCAACATTGATTCAATATGGATTTTGGATCAATATTATCGGTTGCGCAAAAAAATACAAAAACTGTTAACCATTCGTCCGAGGTACGTATGATTAATACAATGACTTGATTGAAGAAAAAAAATTCATCATGCATTGTTTTTAAGGCCCAATGAAAAAAAAAATCGTGTGCCAACGTTTCAAAAAGTGATTCAATTTCCTGTTGTTTACATGAACATTTTCAGAGGAGTAAATTTTATTCGACCAAATTTGAGCCGCCGAAGAAAGAGACAAAGGAGAAAAAGTTATCCGATGGTATCAAGAAATTCCTAGAGCAAAAAAGTCATGAAGAGAAAAAAGATAAGGAAAAAAAGCGTAAGGAATATGCTGAACTGATGGCTTTGCGTACGGACCGTGATAAAAACAAAATCAAAAAGCATTTGAAAGTGACCAAGTCAGCCAATAAATCGGTTTTGGACGATGCAGTCAATAGTACGGATACAGCTGTCACTATGGAAGGTCCAGAGCAACCCGATGAAGATGACTATGGGTATACGTCGAATGAGGCCAGTGCACTGTACAAAAGTTTAATGGATAAATACAAATCAATGCCGGAGGATACGAAATTCGCCAAGTCATCGTTGAATGGTAGTAAAACTGCGGATCTAATGTCGACGAAAGATCGTGTACGTGCGGCAATCCTACGCGAAAAGGAAGATGAAAAGTTGGGGCGGAAACGAACAACCACAACAAGTGCTGATATTTCGAGTAGTTCAAGCAGCGAACAAAAGCATCGTTCGCGTAAGAATTTTTACGATCCAAAGGCTGAACGTGAAGCTGATGAACGAAGGAAAAAAGAGCTTGAGGATGAGAAACGTAAAAGCATAAAAAACAAGCGACCTCCGCCGCCTGTTATGGATTTTCAGAAACTATTGAAATTAGCCGAAGAAAAACAACACGAACCAATCAAAGTTGAAGTGCCACAAAAACCGAAAGAGCCCGAGAGATTGCTGACTTCGAAAGAGAAGCGAGAAATTGAAATGAAAAAGAAGGAATTGGAAGAACGAGAACGACGGCGAATGGGTTTGCCACCAAGCAAACCGCAGATTAATGGTGAGCAACGAAAACCGGAAGCAACACAAATAGCGAATGGTAGAATACCAAGATTGAATGGGTCGAATGCACCATCATCTAAGTCTTCATCATCACAACCAGCATTAGACATTCGCAAACCAAGTACTTCATCCATGAGAGAACCAATTAGACCAGTATCGAGCGCTTCATTACACAATAAAACACCTTCCAAACCGCAATCACAACCGAGCGCAAGCGGATCAAGACCGACATTTGCAAAGCCTAGCACATCACAGCCATACGGAAAGCGACCAGTCGATTTGAAATCGAGAAACCAAACGCATGACAGCACCCGAAATGTTCCCAAACAAAGCACATCATCCAAACCAGCTTCAAAGCCGATCGATTCGAAAATTGTGAAGACACGAGAATTTCCCCCGAAAGATTTAGTCAAACCGAAAGAATTCCCGCCACGCGATGTGGCCAGGTCTAAAGAATTTCCACCTCGAGATCCGGTGAAATCAAGGGAATTTCCACCGCGTGATATGCAACGCGGTCATACGTCGATGAAACACAAATCGGCCGCATCAAAACGTCGCATCATTGAGGACTCTGATGAAGACGAAGATGAATACGATTCGGAAATGGACGATTTCATTGACGATGACGAAGGTTTTGACTACTCGAGCGAAATCCGAAACATATTTGGATATGATAAATCTCGTTACCGCGACGAAGACGATGATATCGACAATATGGAATCGACATTCGCACAACAGCAACGCGAAGAATTTATTAGCAAAAAGATTGGAATCCAGGAGGATTTGGAGGATATACGATTAGAAGCCGAAGAAAAGAAGAGAAAAGCAGCAAAGCGACAACGTCTCTAAAACCACTGTGCATTTTTAATTTTATCACATTAAAAACCTATATATGTAATATTATCCTCAAACACTAACAATGTTGGGCAAACTTATCTATTTTTACGTTTAATAAAATTTTTACCAATTTCAAATATGATTCGAAAAGTGTGGAATGATTTTGAAGTTATTGTTCAATTTTATTTTCAAATTCCGAATTTCAGCCATCGCTTCCATTCCAAACCAAAATTTACACTGGGATGTCTTGGGATGAATGCACCAAACGGAATTGAAGTTGCAATAAAGAAAGAAAAACACGTTACTAATGATAAAAATATTATGGCTGATTTTATTTCCACCATTTTTAATCCCAATGCCAATATATAACTATATTTATCTGATTCATATCGGAATATCATTTAACTCGAAATACAACAAGAAATCACATAAGAAGAAAAACTTAAAAAAATACTTTTCTGTTTACAATATACTGTTAGTTGAAGATTGTTTTGGTTAAACAAATCACACATAAAAGCTAGGGAAAACTCGATATCTCGCGAACGTTGACATGAGTTTGTCAATATTGGTTTAGTTTGGGTAAGTTTGATTTAGTCATCGCTATCATCGTCTTCGTCTTGGTGTACATCGGCCTCATTGGAGGAGTCATTTGTGATCGCATTCAATTCGGTCAAGATTTCTTCATTCACCTCGTTGGTCTTTGGCAACTCGGATAATACCCATGAGTCATTTATACCGTTCAATTTTGTCTGACATAGCGGACACTTGTCGTGATTTTCATTCCTGGAAGAAGACCAAATTAGACAGAAATTAAAAATACTTGTGATCGGAATATTGAATATCGAAATATTTCTGATAGAATTTGAGTAAACTTTTTGAAAAAAACAAAATTAAAACATTCAAGTCAAGAGATTCCTGTGTTACATGAGCCAAAGACATGAGTGGAAAGAGTTAACTAAAAGTGAATTACCATTTTTCGATGCAAGTGCTGCAGAAAACATGTTCGCAAGGTAGAATGAGATCGGTTTTTCTATCTAAACAAATGCAGCACTCAAAAGCTGATTCTTCATCTGGTGAAACTTCAGCCACATTGTCAAGTAAATTCGGTAGACGACGTGCCTGTGAGAAAAGAGATGTTTTTTTCTTCATCCGTATTAATAATCTATTTAAAGAACACTAAGACACTGTGGGATATTCTGCGATATTATTATGTTTTCTTCGAAATTCGGATTAATCAAGAAAAAACACCCAACCCACCCTTTCATGTTGTTCTTCACACGATGACATTGCTTCGAGATGTGTTTGAAAGGTGTTGAACACTTTTAAGAACTCTCTCAAATTGATGAGCTTGTAGTTTTCAATGCGATTGCTTTCTGGATCGCATTTAACGCAAGCAATTCGAACGGTTGCCTTCCATAAAAATGATTGGTCGCTACCTTTTTTCACTGCAAAAATCGTAACTTTTCCATTCGAATCCAAACATTTTCGAGACCTGTAAAATTACACGCACTTTCCTTATCAGTGTATTGTTCATTTTTTCGATAATTATCACATCAGTGTCCACTTACAAATCATTGAGGTTGCTCAGGCAACTATTGAATTCTATGAAAGAAATTGAAAAGTTGAAAAAAAAAATCGTCTGAAAATTTTCTTTTTTTTTTTTCTCTCGATTGATAATTCCAAAATCAAATACCTTCATAGGTGAGCGAACTGATTTCCTTTAGGCATTGAGCATGTTTCCGAATTCCATAGCGAATCGTATCGACCGTATCTTCAATTGATTCGGTTGTTGATGGTGTTCCAATAGTTTGTCCCATTTGTACGGTGGAATAAAAGTGCTCACTCGTCGTTTGAAACAACGTTTTTTGCGATTTGTTTATTATTTACGCGTCGAACGGACGGTGTTAGGTTATCAGTGAAAAAAAGAAACTATGTGCGATGGTTTAGTGTGACAGACAGAGAACAGAGACGAGACAGTCGTGTGTAGTTGTTGCTTGTGTGTGTGTGTGTGCGTGCGATGTCGTTTTGACATAAGCCACTCTCACTCAGCTCACTCTATATGTATGTTGTGTTGTTTTATATTGGGTGCTAGTATTGCCTGCGTGACTGAATCAGAAAAATGGCGACTGTACATCTGACAGAGTTTACTTTTGTGTTTCGCAAGTGATTACCTCAGTAATGCTTGAATCTAGTTTGTGTATACTGTGCGTTTAGTGTTGAACAATCGATGAGGAATACAACGTTCCAGTTTGTGAACGGGAACAAAAAATAAAGCAAATTAAATGGATCAATCACATTTTTAATTCACTAACGACGACGACGATTTTTTTAGACAAAAAAAAACTAGTTGAATCATGGCTTTTGTTGGAATTAGTCAATATAATCACCATCAACAGATTGATGAATATGAATACGACGATACGGAGAATTTTTATGACGACGGAGCGAATTATGGAAATTATCTCGATGTGGACGATAGCGAAGGTAAGAGAAAAATCAGTGATGATTCCGGTGATAACAGTGTTTCAAAGCCTGTTTCTCTGTTTTGTTTTGTTTTGCAGATACTGAGGAAGCCAGTGAGTCGGAGTATGGCCACACGACTGGACGAAATCCAAATGAACCACTTGAAATAAAAGAATTGTAAGTGTTGTGCCCAACGTTTTTCAGTTGATGCAAGAAAAAACTGTTCAACTGAAAGTTCATTGATTCTATGCATAATTCACAAATTCCGATCATTTTCCGTAGAATGTACCAAGACAAATTGTCCAATTTGAAGAAGCAATTAGATCAACTGAAGAATGATGTGCATCCCGAATACATACGACGCTATCGAAAGCTAGAGAGTCAGTACAAAGAGCGTTTACGTCTCAACGAAGTGCATCGTGAATTTTCCATCGAATGTATCGAACGTGATTTTATAACGGAGAAAAAGGCAGCACTCAAAGAATTTGATGACAAACGTGCCGATCTCAAAGAGAATCTCATAGCTGAATTTGAAGAAAAGCGCAAAATGATCGAGTCCGAACGGCATTCGATGGAATTGACGGGTGATTCAACGGAAACAAAACCAACAGTAACACGAAAACTTCGGCGTCGACCCAACGATCCGATGCCAATGCCAGCGGAGAAACGGCGAAAACCAACAGTTAGCCAACTCGTATTGCTTTTAGACGACAAAGAAATCGAAAATGACCTGAAATTGATAAGTCGCGGCAAAACAATGACACCAATTCGATCACCATCCGTCAACAGTAATGGGCTATCGGCGATTAGTGCTAGTCTTGGTATAGCCAGCTGCTCATTGCCACCGACCGAAAATTACTCATTGATCGAAACAAAAATCGAGGATGGTAAATTGTTGTTTGAACGACGCTGGTATCATCGTGGCCAACCAGTTTACATCGAAGGGAAAGATATTGCCAAATTCGCTGCCACCATCTCAGCGATCGGAAATGAAGTTGTAAGTGCGATTTTGAGCTTGTTTGATCTCAGCGTAAAAAGTCACAAGTCCAAAGTATTGTAGCTAATCCTGTTGCATGTTTCGGTGACAAATCTATTTTTAGTCGCTTTTGCACACCTATCACTGATTGAATCAATCGTTTTTCTTTCGCTTTGCAGGTTTGGGTGAAAAAGCTGAACGACAACAACAAAGTGAAAATTCCAACGAGCCAATTATCACGCGGAAAGATAACAATAAAACGAAGGGCCAACTAATCACGGTGTCCTTTACATTCTGTCATTTAGCGTTAGTGAATAGGTTTCTCTTTTTTAAATATAAATTGCATTCATATATTGATATTTTGTTTTAGATTTAATTTCAACAACATTTTACAATCAAACCAAATTTTTAAATAAAATGAAAACGGAACAAACTGTAAAACATTGAATTGTATGGCGAAAGAAAAAAAAAACAGAGAAAAATGCTAATGAATTTTATTTTGTGTTTACAATATATTGCACACAAAACATTTTTTCATCTATCTCTTTGTTGTCCCCTCTACTATTGCACACAAACGCTTTGTTCGACGGTTTTTTGACAGCTGAAGCGAAACCAATACATATATGCATCACCTGGGCTGATGGTATTGGTGCGATGTATACAAATGTCAGTACTGAACGTATACCCATAAACATGCAGCACAGACATTCTACTCGGAACGCGTGTTTCACACACAGTTACACGTGCGCGTGTATAATTTATATCCGTATTCGCAGTTTCGCTCGTCAAAATTATACTTCAAACACACTTTGAATGAAATAGAGTAAAAATTGCATCATTCTTTTTTTATTTCGTGAGCTGTGTAGAAGCCACGTTCCTTTGCTTGATTGCAAGCAAGCACACTACCGAAACTCAATTCCCGAAAGAGTATTATTTATTTATTTGCGTTAAGTGAAATTGATAGTGTTGTGAATACAATGAGTGAAACACTCTTGGAACAAATTAAAGAACAAGGTGAGCTGGTGAGAAAATTGAAAGCTGCCAAAGAACCAGCCGCCAAGGTAAGATCCGCCCGTAATCATTGCGAAATATATTTTTTGTCTTTCAATTGGTTCATCGTTACAAAAGTTTATCAAATTCAAGGAAACATCGGCTTTTCCATAGAGTTTTACATTGAGGTTAGAACAATTTTGCGAATATATTGAAAATGATGTTATTTGGAAAGTTCAATTTTTACGTGCTCAACGCATACATTCCGCGAATTGTGTAAACGTGGGTATTTCGGTTTAGTAAAAACGAATCATATGAATGTGATTGATTGCAACACGACCGCAACTCAAGCACACGGTACAACAAAAAAACTAGACGTACTTTCACTCGTCACACACAAGTGAAAAAAATGTATCTCTCTGTATTCGGCATTGTGAAACACGATCCAAGCTTATGAAACACCAAAAGAGTGTTCATATTCATTTTATCGTATTGAATGTGTGTCACAATCACTTTTTAATTGATTATTTCAATTGCTACATTTGCAGGTCAAAGAAGAGGTCGATAAATTGCTTGCGCTGAAGGCGAAATTACAAGATGGGGCACCTGCACCGGGAAACCAAAAATTCACACTTAAAACGCCAAAGGGTACACGTGATTTTGCTCCACAACAAATGACACTGCGCCAAAGTGTACTCGAAAAGATTGTGGCAGGTAAGTTCCTCTGACTTTTCAGAGCTCCCAGCTCCATGGACGACTTAAAGATTACCTGATCGAAAATCTAGAATATTTTTAGTATTCGTGTTTTTATGAAATTGTACCATTGCAGTTTTCCAAAAACACGGAGCAGAAACCATTGATACACCCGTTTTCGAACTCAAAGACGTATTGACCGGGAAATACGGAGAGGATTCGAAACTAATTTATGACTTGAAGGATCAAGGTGGAGAGATTTTAGCACTTCGATATGATTTAACTGTTCCCTTAGCTAGGTACTTGGCCATGAACAAGGTTTCAAGCATCAAACGATACCACATAGCTAAAGTCTATCGAAGAGATAATCCATCCATCGCTCGCGGTCGCTATCGTGAATTTTATCAATGCGTAAGTATCCAGCGATTATTTTGTCAATTTTGTCAAGAAGATAACAATGAAACTCTCTCTCTCTCTCTCTCTCTCTCTCTCTCTCTCATTCACAGGATTTTGACATTGCTGGCACATACGATCCAATGTTACCAGATGCCGAATGCGTCAAAGTGGTCTCCGAAATATTGAACACATTGGATATTGGCGATTTTGTGATTAAGTTGAACCATCGGCAATTGCTTGACGGAATGTTCGAAGCTTGCGGTGTGCCAGTTGACAAATTCCGAACAATTTGCTCGAGTGTTGATAAATTAGACAAGGTAAGCGACAAATACCGAATACGAATATAATATGCAAATAAATAGAGACGTTTACTTTGTGTTGCTAAGCCATTTCCTTTATATTCTGTCATGTATATCAGTATATCAGTTACTAATCATAGCCGAATTTTATCAAAACAAACATATGTTAATGAATGACTTTGGTTTTTCAACAGAGTCCATGGGCTGACGTTCGACGCGAAATGATCGAAGAGAAAGGTTTGGATGAAGCAGTAGCCGATAAAATTGGCGAGTACGTACAATTGAGCGGGAATGTTGAATTGGTCGAAAAATTGCTGGAAAATGAGCACTTGAGCAAAGTTCCTGCGGCCGTTGCCGGATTACAAGCAACCAAATTGCTGCTGAACTACTGCAACATTCTTGGATTACAGGATGAAATAGTGTTTGACTTGAGCTTGGCTCGTGGTCTTGACTACTACACCGGTGTTATTTATGAGGCTATTTTGAAAGGTACGCCTCATGGTTCCAATTGAGTGGAATGGCATAGAATTTTGGGTTCAATCGAATCAAATTGTTCATATCAATTCTTCTCAATCATAATCTAAACTACTTCCCTCTTCCATTGCAGCCGAACCACCAACAGTAGCCAACCACATGAACGAAGCGTCAGCGGAAGAACGTGTTGGATCGATTGCTGGCGGTGGCCGTTACGACAATCTTGTCGGAATGTTCGATCCAAAGGGTAAATCGATTCCATGCGTCGGTGTTTCCATTGGAATCGAACGAATTTTCTCGGTGCTAGAGGCAAAGTACGCAGCAGAAAAGGTTAAAATGCGTACAAAACTTGTAGATGTCTACGTTGCATCGGTTCACAAAGGCTTGTACGAGAAACGACTTAAAATTACCGGTGATCTATGGAATGCTGGCGTCCGCGCTGAGCATTCGTACAAATTGAATCCAAAACTATTGGTTCAATTGCAACATTGTGAAGAACATGGCATCCCATATGCCGTTGTATTCGGCGACGCTGAACTGGAGCGTGGCGTTGTGAAACTTCGCGAAGTGTTCTCACGAAAGGAAGAGGAAGTTTCACTCAGCGGCTTGGCTGAAGAAATACGAAAACGTTTAATCGAAAAAGAAATCTAACTTCGAGCATTCAATCATCAACACTGGAAATTGGATAAAATACTTTTACTAAGCATTTACTTCGAGATATCAACCAGATGATTTGTATTTATTTTAGGTGGAACTCAGCACAATAAAACAGAAACATAAAATGGCAAATAATGCAATTTACTTGAGCAATTTAATAAAAAGAAAACTTTGGATATCTTGCAAACGAATGGATTCATTTGATTTGAATGAAAGCGATCCTCTTACTTACGAGAACATGAACTAAAAATGGTTTTTCCTTGAACTAATAAAAATGGTCTGACGAAATAAATTCGAATGTTGCGCTACGCTTGACTATGGTTTGGTGACAAGTAAATCGTGGTGTGTATGGAAATATGACAGTTTGAATTGTGAGGTTATGTATTTGTTTTGGTTTTGCAGTCAACAGGCACGGTAAAGAGGCACTATGAGTCTTTGCCGGGTGAATCTTGCCCGAAGTGTGGCATCGTTTTTGTGTTCAGAGCAACGGATTTTTTGTCTGCAGAAAAACAGGAGCATTCAGCATTTATCCAGGGTATCATGTTGTAACGACATTTGTAGATTTAATTATTATTCAACCGACTCAAAGTCGTCTTCATCAAAGCAACAAGCAAAGCAAGTGTGTTTTCTTTTTGGAAATCTCTTTTCTTCTGTAGAAGAAACGATTTAAATTTTTGACATTTGAATCAACAGAAACCATCGAAATTGAAACTAAAAACTGCAAAAGGAACACGTGACCATGGACCACAAGAGATGCAACTTCGACAACGAGTTTTCCAGAAAATTGAATCCATTTTTCAAACTCATGGCGCACAAGCAATCGATACGCCGGTATTTGAACGGAGAGAAATTCTAACCGGAAAATATGGAGAGGATTCGAAGCTAATTTATGATTTGGAAGATCAAGGCGGTGAGATTCTTTCGCTGAGATACGATTTGACGGTGCCATTGGCTAGGTATTTGGCCATGAACAAAATTACCAACATCAAACGGTATCACATTGCAAAAGTCTATCGGCGAGATTCACCTTCTATAGCACAAGGCCGTCTTCGCGAGTTTTATCAATGCGTGAGTAAATTGCATATGAGCCGAATGATTTTGGGGCAGTTAAAAGATTCATTGTGAAATAGGAGACAAATCGCGATGAATCTTATTCTATTCTTTACTTGAAATTTTATTTTGTTGTTCAATCTTCAAAAACGCTGCCGTTGAAAGAAATTTTTATATGAGGTTTTCATTAAATTGTTTGACATTCTTCACAGGATTTCGATATTGTTGGAGTACATGATGCCATGCTGCCAGAGATTGAATGTGTAAAAGTAATGTCGAAAGTGTTAAAATCGTTGGACATTGGTGAATTCGTAATCAGATTGAACCATCGACAACTATTGAATGGGCTGTTCGAGGCATGTGGAGTGCCGCATGATAAATTCAAGTCAATCTGTTCAGCTGTTGATAAATTGGATAAGGTAAAGCCGTGTATATATTTACATGTTCCTCGCATAAAAATTCATAGTTTTACCTACATTTCTCAATCGAATTCACTGTCATTTTGGCATTATTCTAACTATGAAGTATTCTGAATCAATTTTCTTAACAGTTACCTTGGGCTGAGGTGCGCAAAGAAATGGTCAACGAGAAAGGCTTGACTGAAGATGTTGCAGACAACATTGGCCAGTACATTCAACAGTTGGGTCACGCAGAACTGATGGAGAAACTAATGCAAGACGAGCTTCTGAACAAATACCCATCATCTCTGCAAGGTCTGCAAGATCTGAAGTTGCTTTTGAAGCATTGCAATCTACTTGGAATTCAGAATGATGTCATTTTTGATTTGAGCCTGGCCAGAGGTTTGGATTACTATACTGGAGTCATTTTCGAAGCCGTTCTCAAAGGTTATTTCCACTACAACATAAGTCAACAGGCAGAATAAATTGAAATTACAAACTTCTATTAAAAATGTTACAGATAAAAATGACAAAGACGCGAGAGAATCAATAGGTTCGATAGCAGCTGGTGGCCGTTATGACGATCTGATTGGAATGTTCGATGCAAAAGGACATTCAGTGCCTTGTGTCGGAGTTTCGATTGGTGTCGAGCGAATTTTCTCCATTCTACAGTCAAAAATGGTAAAAGACGGTGATGGGCCAACTAACTTTGCCGATGTGTATGTGATATCAGCTCATAAAGGTCTACACGAGGAGCGACTAAAGATTGTGAATCGGCTATGGAATGCGGGCATTCGATCAGAGCATTCATTCAAGCAAAATCCGAAAATTCTGAATCAAATTGAATACTGTGAAAAACATGAAATTCCTTACGCGATAATAATTGGCGACTCAGAGCTGCAACGAAACGTTGTTAAGCTACGGACAATTAGCACACGGGAAGAAATTGAAATTCCAATCAATAAATTAGAAGATGAAATTAACAAACGTTTCCATAAATGATGCTAATTCTTTTATTGCATTTTTCTTTCCAGTTCTTGTATGAAATAAAACAAAAATTTGGCATTTTTTACCCTATTTTTTACTTCATTTTGTTTTAAAGAAATTTGGTTGTACATTCTGTGTATCTTTCCTAGGATTGTAGTAACTTGTTACTTTTGCAGATTGATTCTCACATCTAAAAACGACTGGCGACCTTTTTTATGTAGAAATAAAATGATTTTATTTGAAATAATACAATAATAAATTTGGAGATATTTCAGTGTTTACCATAATTGACAGAGAAAGACATGTTCCTACTAAGTTCCAAATTGCTAAAAACAGCAACTACGAGGTGGAAGAAGAATAACTAGAAATGTGCCTTTGTATATTATGAAAATTTTCAAATTTCAATCAAATTATTTTCTTCATGAAACCGCTTATAAATTCAAACATTTTTATTTTTTCTACATTTTCCTGAGTGTTAAATATTTTCGTCGTCATTTATGGCCAAAATATATTCAAAAAACGAATATTGTGTCATATATTCAGATACTATTACATTGTGGATATGTTGATTATCTGACAGCCTTAGTACAAAAAAACAACTTCTGAACTCTTTGCCGATAAATGAAACGAAAAAAAACTTAGAGCAAAAAAGAAACAAATGAAGTTGCGAGCAAAAGTGACACAAGTGCGCATTGAGCGGAAAACACGTTTTTTCTAAGTTTTTTTTCGTTTCATTTATCGGCAAAGAGTTCAGAAGTTGTTTTTTTGTTCTTAGGCTGTCAGATAATCAACAAATCCACAATGTAATAGTATCTGAATATATGACACAATATTCGTTTTTTGAATATTTTTTGGCCATAAATGACGATGAAATCACGCATAATTCATACACTTTTGCTCGAAAAATACGTTGCAAACAAATAACGACATTTCATTCATAAAACACTGATGACACTCATGCACTCTTATACAAACACTTTGTTTCTTTTTATTCAGGGAAAATAAAAATAAACAAACAATTACTCTTCGAAATTAAAATAATCAAAAGCAGCTTCTTTATTTGAATCTAAAGCCATGAAAGAAAATTTAGGAAATAATGAAATAAATTGAATTAATTGGAATAATCATAGCATTTATTATGGGCGATTCAAAGTTGCAAAGAAATATCAAGAATTTAAATAACGAATAACAATCGTGACGAAATAAAAATGGGTTGGAAAATGAAATTAGCAAACGATCACTAAATGATGAGAATTTAAATAGGTCAAATGAACATTAGAAATTCAAATTAGAATTGGAATTGTGCTACATGATGTATGCTGAAAGGATTTTGTGATTCCTCTGCAGTACTTTCAGTCATGATGAATGCGAATCATATATCATACTTATGCAAACACAAAAAGGCTATTGAAACTAAAACGATGGGAGAAAAACTTGCCCAAATAAGAGTGAGTTGAGTTTCTTTTGATTTATGTAAATTTTATGGCCTAGTCCGGTTACCCCACAAAAAACTAATACGAATCAGGAGTGTTTCTTCGATAGCACAACATAATCATTCCGTCAGTTCATAAGCATCAAACGGGAATCGCATTTTTTCTAATTTAATTTAAATTTGGTGTAAACTTTGCGCACACAAATAGCAATGTAATTTGATGTTGAGGCATAAACGCAACTGAATATATTGAACATAAACACACTATTGTAATTGCTTGTTCCTGCATTTCATCCATTATTCCACTGATAGCATTTGTTCAAATGTGAAGTACCGGCCTCAGTAAAAAAAAGAATAAATGTTCTCTTCATATAACGACACCCAAGAGACTTAACCCTTTTGCATTGTGACAAATTCGTTGTCACGGAAACTTTTTCAGCGTCTCGTCTTCGGCTGACCTTTTTTCCACAAAACACTTGTAATTGCAAACTGCAAAACAATGTCGCCATAAATCTCGATTGGGTCCGAATAAATGACTTTTGTGTGTGACCTTAATGGAAAAAGTCAAAGTTGTTAGTAGGTGGCAAAGAAGTTTGGCCGAGATTTATTGGCTGTTTTACTGGATCCAGGTGGATTTTAATGAGCTATCAATATTCGTTAACCGCTTGTAATGTCATAGCAATGGTTATATTTCTATAAAGTAAGGAGCATATCAGTGCCGAGTCGAATGGTATGATAAAATCGAACTCGAGATTTTGGAAAATAATCTCACTTTTTATTGAATATTCCGGTTTCAAGTTAATTCGATTTCGTTCCAGTGAAAAGACAAAAGGGTGATTTGCTTGGTAACTTTTGTTCGCCGTTTGTTTAAATTTCCGAGTCTGAGAACGAGTTTTACCACTCGTTTGATTCGCTATTTCGATTAATTTCACATTTCCCATTTTGCAACGATTCCGAATCGAGTTTATGTCTGACATTTAATACTCTCATTGGCTACGGCTCTTACTATGCAAATTAATGTAATTGGAAAAGAAACAACCCCAAACAGCATTCGGCTTTTTTCTTTTTCATTAAAATAGAACTTTTCACATTGAATTGAAAGGTTGATTGCATTGCAGCACCGCACTTAATTAACTGGATGGTGGCAAGACACTTGTCCCATACAACGATGCACATTCTCCGTTGCCCTGAGCACTTTACACAATCAAGTCATACGACTCCGTGGTGAAATAAATATCAACTTTATCCCTTCATTTTTCCCCGGCATTCGGCGCATATATGGTTTTGAGTGTCTCTCGGCTTCAATCATTTGGAAATGCTCATTTCTTTTCATTTTTGCTGCTCTCTGTAAAAAGAAAAAAAGAATCGGGAGACTTCAGAAAATGTCATATTCATACGTGGTCCTTTTGTCCCGTTCAAGAATGTCGATCAAAATTACCGGAATTTCATTGCGTTGTCAAGACATCGTATGGGATTGATGCATATGAACCACTTTTGCTTAACAATGAAACAGGTATGATTCAATCATGTTAATATAATTCGGACAAAGATTCACTCAACTGCAGATTCATCTATTCTCAACATCTGGCCGTAGGCTACTCAAGTGTTTTTCTTGTACACTCTTGCTATTCTGTGCATTTTTAATATTTTCAAAGACATTCAATGTCTTGAACATTTACATTTTTCTGTTTGGAAATCACTCATTCGAAACGAAAGGGAAATAATGTCACTGTAGTCCAGTAATGAAATATTCAAAATATTCTTCAAGGGAAAAAACATATTCAACATGAATATTGTCAACAGATATATTCCCATTCAATCAACATTCTCTAACAAAAGATACAGAAAATGACAAACATCACAAAAATTCGCACTTGAGCTCATTCACTTGCCAAATAAAGAGTTTACAATTTATTTCCGAAGAGTTATAGGAGGTTTACAAATTCATAGTCTCCAATGGCTAACATCGAATTGAAAATGAAATTAAATATTTTTTTCGCTCCAAAATTCCTCTATTATTCGAAATTCAAATCTATTATATCAAAATTCTAATTCTATGACAAAAAATCCGAAATCAAAATATTCCAATGAACATGGTCAGGTCAACATTGCATGTTTTGAATACATTTTATGACAGTTTGTTCATTTTTAACGGGCTCAATATACTTGTATAGTGTTAGTAGCTATAAACTTTTACGCTTTTATAACGTTTTTAGGCAGAGTGAATATGATTTAGCATGCACACTAATGCCATTCAGAATAGTCAATACACTTGTGTGTGTGTGTGTGTGTGTGTGTGTCCGTATGTGTCATAAAATCTTCAATAGGATTTTGCATCGCTATGGCGGACTATTGGAGAGGATTGGTTGCCGATTATCGGTAAAATAGCACAGTTCAATAGAAGCATTGTGTCACCCAAGCGCATGGTGAGCTCAAACGATATAGCAACATGCTTGTGTTCAAACGATGCCAATAACACAAAGATAGAGGCAAGTGGCAAAAAAGTTGAACAAAGACAAAAGATGCGATTCGCACTACTGTTAATCAACTGTCTAAAATAGATGTGTTGCAGTCATTCGATGACACGAGTTTAACCTGCGTCAACTTGTTACGCATTGCGTCGCAATTCAATTCACTGCAATATAATTTAGAAAATCAAAAGTGATCTAGTTTGTTCCGTTCGAAGAACGTGATTTAGGTTGAAAAAGTTCTTTTTGTGTTCAAAGGTGAAGAATTTCCTAGACAACATATTTGTGTTTTTGAGTGTCAATTTCCATTGTTTTTCATCGGAACAATTTTGCATAAGACACGAGCCAATGATGTGTTCTCGTGAAGAGCTGAAAAAATTGTTGTACGAGCTACTGTACCGGTTGGATCAAGTGGCATATTTGGGTGCAAGGACGCAATTTAAAGATGAGTGTAACAGTTTGAATTCACAAGCATATTCGGGCTACAACGACAAGATACAATTTGGCAATGGAAATATTCACTTTGAAAATATTCTACGCTTTCAAAAGGCATACATTCGTTATTTCGTGTTTGCCTCGGATCCGTTCACCGAATTCATTGTTCCACTCACATCATCGTCGCTGGCATTGTTCATAACAAACATTCTGGCGCGAGATGGGGCCGTGCCAAAATTACCTTATCACACATCACGTACCATTATCGAATTTTTGCAGGTTAGTTCGTCGGTGCAACCACGTTGCGCTCAAACACACAAACAATATACTCGCTTATAGACAAACGATGCCGGTGAGAATAACATTGAGCACATGTACTCACCACCTCATTGTTTCAGATTACACAAAGTCATGTGGTCGAACGGTTGTTGTTGCATTACAAGAGCGATTTGGTGAAAGTGATCAAGGAGCAACGATTGCCGTACAACATCGATGTGCTTGCACAGATTCGACGTGATTGTTACCATCAGAATTTCAGCGACCCAAATTCATTGCAGAACAGCCAAGTGCTCGTGAGAAGTATAGACACATTGGTGTCACGTGTTGCAAACTTTTCATTACATTTTCTTTTGAACAAAAAGTTTTGAGACAATAATTTTCGATGTTCCATAGGAAATCGCCGAAGAAGCGCAGCAGATTTTTTTTCAACAAATACTGCCCAAAACAGTTCACTACCAATCGATAGAGCACACACACGAAGAGTACGTCATTCAAGTGCCGATTCAAGGCACAAACATTTCGGTGGTGCAACCAGCTACGGCCGATCAAGTGATGAGCACAATCATGCAAGCCGGCCAAACCGAAACCATCATTCAGAATGTCGATGTGACAGCACCATTGTACATTTTAACACCCGGCGCTCCAGTCACCATCCAAATTCCGACAAACGAGAACGCCATACCAGTCGCTCCAGTCATCGAAATTCCCTTGCAAAATGATGTGGCAAACGAGGTAAGTGAATTTACACTCACAAAACAATGCAACAATCACAGTCACAACAGCAATTCAGTCAACCATTTCTCATCAGTCGAACAAAATCCAAGTCATAATGCATCACTATCCTTTGTACGCACATTTCTCTGACTGAATAATAAATGCATTATTGTAAGTGACACACAAAAATCCGAACAATTGAATAAATAATTGTTTTTTTTGTATTCGAGAGATTAATCTTGCGTCGCACACATTTCACATTGCAATGGATTTGTTGTTCGCACGCCCCATCCACTACTGTTACGCATTCATCCGATGTCATGCATGCATAATCTGTTTGTTTTTCCCAAAACGGATTCGATTGTCAACATTTCTGCCATGCCAATTGAATCAAGCGCTCAATCATTTGTATTTGCAGAGACGTTTTTCTCATTGCAAAAAAAAAATCAAACAAGCAAACGGCTGTAATCAAAGTAAATATGTAAATTGAGACAGTGGAAGGTTTTGTTTGCCAAAGTTAAGCTGACGATGATATATTTCCGCTTTTGAATTCAAACGCATTTGGGTTGCGTTTGTCAAGAATGCCAACGGGTTTCTGGCTCTTGTCTCTCTCTCTCTCTCTTTCTCTCTCATTGGTTCTGTCTCTGTCTCTCTTCTGAACAATACCGAAAATATTTTCATTCAAAACCAAAACGGTTTCCCGTATGCAAAGGATACAGTTATTTGTACAGTTAGCATGAGCTCGATGACCAGATTATATGGATGCAATCGAAAGTATTGGGGCACCGAGATTAATGTCTGCCGGCGATATAAACTACCAGAAATCACGTCTAAATGATCGCAATTTATGTTTGCATTTCGAATAAAAGTAACACTTTTGTCTGTGTTTGCACAAATGATTTGCATCCACCGAAAAATCTCCGTGCATTTGACTGACGAATCGTCAGCGACGATGGTTCGGTCTATTTGGCCTCATGACATCGCCGACTATGGTTTTGCCATGGAACATGTTATATTTTCTAACTCGGCGCGTATTTTGTGTAATATTTAATTTGCTTATCTGATTTACATTTTCTAACAATTCACACGCCAATTTCACAGCAAACTATAAATAAACAAAGCAAATTCTGCGAACTTGTTCTCAATTTACCACAGTATATAAAAAACGTTTTATTTATTTCGATTTCTAATATGAGTGCAAATTAATTTCGAATTAAAGTCATTGGATTTCATTGGAAAACGGCTGAATCAGTTGTTTTTTCCATATTCTGTCTCTGCACATAACAAAGACGAGAGACCCTTGTACAACAACAAAAAAATGATGGTGTGTTTTTGAATTTCCAGTTGACAACACAATCTGAATTGTGTTTGTAATTCGATACTCTTACAGTTTAATTAAAGATATTCCTCGTGATCAAGCCTCAGTTGGCGTATTGAGCTGGGCACCAAAAATAAAATTGAATATTCAATCTGTTTGTCAAATCGAATTGATCCAAAAAAGAAATGCACATTTCGTTCCATTCATCCAGCCAGCCACACTGTTGAGTAATAGATCATGCTCAATGCCAGATGAAATCAAATACAATCGCCCAAACGGCATGAGAACGAATTGTAAATTGTATCAAACAATTGAGGCGGTCGAGCTGCATTTTGAGCGGCACCGTAAATTTTTCGGAATATGAAATGGTGACAGTATTTAAGGATGTTATTTATGAAAAGCCGAAAAAAGTTATAGTGCATTTGAATGGAATGAATCGAATTTGGGTGCACATTTCGAAAATGGTTCGCTATTTTGACACGTGACAATGTGAACCCGCTGCACTGAGAAGAGTCTCATCTGGTTGGTGTGACACTCTTATCGCGACGACCAAAAATATTATTCAATAAGCCGACACGTGTACTCATAACCAGTCCTTTTGTATACTCAGTGTTACTGCACACTAATTCGGCATCTCTAGTAGCGACCACAAATTCGAAAAATTGTTTTTTTTCTTTCAGCCAGCCACCAACTCGATGGCTGTGTTGGTATACATTTTATAAATTGCCACAGTTTACGCACTCACTACATTTTAATGGGCCACTTTTCAATCAGACATAAAAATTAAATGGATTTTTCACTCAACCATTTACGAGTCGGAAAAATCGGTGCTGTCACGTTATAGTCGAAAACTAGCCCAACTGCCATTATTCAAAATGAGCGAGAAAGCCCAAGAGTTACTCAACTGTTAGTTTGTTCACGTGCGCATTCACATTAATTTTGGTGAAGCTTCTCATTTGTGTTATGAACACGCATTTAACCATAGTGCATTGATGCATCGCAAATTGATTTTTGGTTTGAGATAACGACATAACTTTTTGCCATACTGTTTATGTGTGTGTGTGTGTGTGTGTGTGTGTGTGTGTGTACTCACATCGAGTTACTGCATCGACGAACGACGAACGTGGCGCAGTGCAATTCAGTGAGTGTAAAGATTATAATTTAATTAAATTTCATGAAAATTGCATTTTTCAATAATACCAACGCCATTTATGCACATGAGTGTAACGATTCGAATGAGTAATGGCCGTGTGGAGCGCACTGAAAAAAATTTATTCGAATAACGGGTTTTTATGAACCCTCATTCGACGACATCAACTCTGTATTGACTGTGTGACTAATTAAAAACCACATCGAAAGATAAACGTGTTACTTTTATTTTTCCTCGGGAAATCGTTTAATTCGATTCAATTTTGGTTAGAAATTTATGCTATAAATTCAGTTTAGGTCGTGACTTTTCATTCGAATGTAAAGTTTACATTGTAAACTGATACTGTTCAAGGTCATCGAAAAAATTAAAATAGCTAATCCCTTCTAAATGTTATTCGATGAAAGAGAAAAAAAAACAGTTAATTGAAAGAATTAAAAAAAAAGTCGAGAGATTCATTGATAAATATTTTTTTTCAATCTGTCTACGAAGCGAAAAAAAAGTCGATTTGAATTAGCCAAATTAGGAGTCTGAGTAGCGATTATATGCCCATATTCATAAGTCGCAGTGCATTGTGTTGGCGTGGTGCTGAAACATGTCGACGTCAGTCAATTTAAACATTATCACGTAAAAAGCGAGTTGATTTCAACATATTCGACCGCACTTAACATCACAATTCACCCTCTTTTCTGAAAAATCACTCTCGTCGACATCATCGCTGCCGTCGACTTTGTATGCATATATACACAGGGCCATTTCTCACTTTGAGGTCGTGTGCAAACCTTGTACACTCGATGAATTTTCGAAGGGAACAACCGAACCAAAGAAACCAAACGTTCTACATTTAACAGATCTAATTTTGCACAAAGCAAACAACACAAGACGAGAAAAAAAAATCAGGATCCATTAATATTATGAGAATAAGAGCCAGGCCACACAGTTCCCGAACCAGTGTACCACACTTCGAACGGCTGACTCTTTTGTTTTCTTCCCACGTCGTTCGTTTGACGTAACTCGCACACACACACACATAATGCGATTTCATTTTAGATTTAGATGTAATCAAATATGCAATTTATCAAATTGATATTGATCAGATGCGTTATGATCTGGTTAAAAATGGATTAAAATAGGAAATCATATTCAGGCGCACAAGTGAGCCATTTCAAAGCCAACCAAGTGAATGTGCTGCCGACCGCGTTCCGAATTGATTCCAGACAAAAAGTAAATGAACTTGAAGGGGGAAATGAAACACATATAAAGTGAATTAATTTCTGTGGTAGACGAAACCTTGGGCACACTCCAATCAAAGATGGTATAAATTTTGATTAAGCAGACAAGCAATTATTTGAATGAAAAGAAAAGCTGAAACATAAACAGTCGAAATAAATTGAGTAAATGAGGAAATGGAGAAAAAATGAGACAGAAAACTATAATGCAATGCCAAAGAGGCCAAAATACAACGCAATATAACGCCAGTATTTATTTTTGCCAGAGAAAAAAAATGCAACCGGCCTGATTCGTTGAACTTTTCATAAAACAATTGATTTGACAGCATTCACAACAAACCGAATTGTGAGTGTTAAAAGAGACACATGTCATATGCGTTGAATAAAAATATATACTCCAACTTCATATTCGCAATATCGCATCGCATCCCAAATACAGTTACCATGTTCGAGCATATAAAATAGCATTGAGATACGTATATATGTATTTTACATCATCATCATCATCAGAACATAATTTGTTTCTGTGTCGCAGTTCTCATTCGCATTGTGTTTTTTTTTTGCTCTGTTCTCTGGTGGCATTCTTTATCAGACAAAGGAGACCGCCCAACATTTGTCGACGAAATGTCGATTTTGCTCAAATAATGCGAGTCTCGTGGAAACGGCTACGTTGAATGTAACATCCCCTTTCCCATACAAGCGCACATCGTACAGAAAATACCATATTTCCCCTTATACAACTGGAAGCGTGCTCTATTTTGCTATGTGTATGACTCTGGAATATGCCGGTTGTGTTTATATTCGTTCTAACGTACATTCCGTCGACAACTCAATCACATGCACGCACACTCGCACAGAGTCTCACACAACCGAACTGTTTATATTGCACACACTAAACGGCATTCAAACGATACCTCATGCACAACGAATCTCGGTCGGTTGCAAACAGTTTTGAGTTTAGTCTACGACGTTTCATCGTCGTGTTATGAATGATTTTGCGTTCGAGCGCTCAACGGTTAAATAGATTTTTCACAGATACACATCGAGTTCGCATTTTGTGACGTGCTTTTTCCTACGTGCCATTCGTCATTTTGCACATTAGTTTGTGTTTTTTTTTCTGAACACGAAAAATTAGAGAGACAACTTGTTGTTTATTAACATTTTATCGCATAATTCGCGCGCTTCAAGTGTTGTAACCAATTAAGAGGTAAATCAAAATTAAGTGTTTGCTCTGAAAATCAATTGCAATTGACATTTATACACATTGATCGCTTAAAAATGCATTCCTAATTGGAGAATAATTGAGACAGTGTCTATGAAGTGC